TCAAAATGGAAAGATGAATCAAGGAAAAACGAGAATTTTTTAGAATGAAGAGGATCGACACTGACTGTAAAGGACTAACCCTTGACTTAGCTTATGAGTAGTTGGAGTAGCTGAAAATATGCGATGTGTATTGCGTAAATGGACGCCACGGCCACGGGACAAATATTTCAAATATCAAAATTTTTCGACACGCTTTCATTTTTTCGTATTCCTCCCTAAATCAAATCCGAGATTTTAGCTGACATAGGTTCGCAAACAACTCGCGCCACGCTAGGAGATTATCTCGCAAACCTTTAGGACAACGGAACCTCCTGGTGTCAATGACGATAGACCAAATTTTCCTGGAAAAGTAACCCATTGCAGACATGTTCTAAGGAGAGAAACAACGAATCGACGCACAGCTTTCAAAATTACGATTCGAGGCGACTGTTAATGTTTTTGTATCAAGGCTGGTACTTGCACAAAGAAAAAGAAACCTCATTTTTAACATCATGCATGGCAAATTTTGGTTTGACGGCGACTTCTTTGTTCGAAATCTGGACGCCAGCGTGGAGCTCCGCCAGTACCGGTCGCTTTAACAAAGGATCTTTTTTCTTTTCTTGACAGAATGTTACTCTTTCTTTCTTCTTTGGGCCGGTTTTTGTTTTTTTGTTTTGTTTTTATTTATTTTGTTTTTTATATCAGACTTTCCTCCGCGTTTGATTTTTCTATGAGCAAAGATTTTTCCATAAAGAAAGAGTTTCCACGGGTGAATTTTGTAAAATGCGCGATGTAAACAAAATATGTAAATAACATGAAAATCGAGCCCCGACATGAGCGGTTGCCGTGAAAATTACCCCAGGGGATTCGCCCAGGTTCGAGATCATGACACCTTCCTGATTTATTAACTTTCATTTCAAAATAAGTTTTTTCTAAATAACTCGGATGCTTTTAAAGAATTCAGAATTTTTTTTATGGAAACGTTAGGTCAAAAGGTTTGAATTCAGTTTAGTCAAGTAAAAGAAAAATCAAATTTTTTCGGCCTCTGAAAGTGAGAAGTAACCTTAAGTTTTGCGTGACAGTATTGGATTGTAAGAAAATTCTTCTAGCCAATCAACGTAAAGGAGTTGACACACCTCCAACACGCTCTTTCAGCAAAATCATTTTTGAATACATATAAATAGCGCGTCGTCTAACAATGTGGTCTTTTGTTATCCAGGCTAATACTTTAAATTGCTATGGCGCAGTTCAAACTCCTGTTTTCATGGTTGATGATTTTACAAACGACAAAGCTTTGATCGAGAAGGGGCTTTACAGTTACTACAACACTTAAAAACTCGATCGAAACCGATACTCGATTGAAAGAAGGTGAGTAACGAGAACTAGCTTAAACTTGTGAATTGCTGCAGGGAAAATTATATCTTGTGTTAAATTTTCGACGGACACCTGACTGAAACTAATATTTAGACCATCTGCTTTTGTGCAGAAAAACTCAGTTCCTTTTTCGTGACGTGCTTTTTTCGACCCTCGTGTTGCATTACACAACTCCTCTCTACGATTTGAATTACATAACTCTTTGATCGTACTTAGATGACAGGGTAAAATTTCCGCACAGCCCCACACTACATTATGCATTCAGTTCTTGGAGAGAGAGAGAAAACAACGCCAAAAACAATACATTGCCTTTGGGAAAACAGATTTGTTTTACAATTGTATGTGGCTCTGCCAAGAGTCATAAGTATGGCGATATCGAGTTCAAGCATCTTTTGTTTGAGTTTTGCAACCGTTTGTTCCGCCGAACACACTGGAGACAAAGCAATCTAACGCAGTCTTTCGCAACTATGGCCAAATTTCCGGCTCGTTGTTGCATAAGTTCACGGGTTATTTTTAAGAAGATAAGAAAGGCTGTCTAATAAATAATCTTTTTTAAAAAGTCAGATACAATTTAACAACATAACATCATTTCGGTATCAAATCACTGATTGATATAAAATTCCTACTTCTGGCGAAGAGATCCTAATGTTTCTGTTACATTCATGAGTGTGGTACCTCAAAATATGTACAAACTCTACTCCATCTACGGAATTATTCGCCAAAGACAACGAAGTTATTATCAACAGAACAAAAAAACTGACCAGTGGAGGTAAAGTGTGAACAATCACCAAGAATTGTTTTGTTCATATTCAAGTTATATTATTCTTGGTGAGTTCAATTCATTTTCTTGGTATGTATTGTTATAAAGAATAATTATGACTCATAAAAATTGGCTGTTAGAGAGTGTATATCAGCTCTAAGTTCCAAAAGAAATTCAGACGTTTAGAAAGTTGTGTTCTTTAGACGACGACGTAGTCTTTTTTTTCTTGGTGTCGTCCATAGCAACAAATTTTGATAAAGCTGAATATTAAAGTTTACTTATTCACTTTAGTACTGTAAACAGCGTTTACGTGAGCTATCGCTCTAGTGAATTTTCCGGTTCGATAACGACGCCATTTGATTTGATAATAGGATCCGTCGGAAACTTTCGAGGAACTGTCAGGCACGATTACACTGAAAGGGCCTGTGCAAATGTGTGTGGTTCAGTTAGAGAGACGAATTGGGCCTTTGTTATTTTCACACGAGGTAAATTTTTTCGCCAAGGCCGGTAACTTGAAAGACCGATTCATACCTAAAATTTCCTACTTGTGGTTGTCGCGCGAATGTAGATAAATCGGTATTTAGATATTCTCGGTATTTATATGATTCGGAAATGTTCTCGTCAGAATGGAAGTTTCTGTAAAATTTATTTTGAACATTGCAATGCAATTTTATCTGGACTGAAAGCCTCTCTCAAGAAAAATGTTGTTAACTCAGTATCTTCTTAGGTTAATTTTGTGCAGAGGCGTCTCGCCAGATCTTTAAAAACTTTTGTACTATTTCGCCCCCATAATCGCGCTTATTTCATCACCTTTAACTTATTTAGAGAGAACATCTTAGAGTTTGATTTAGGAAAATTTGCTTGCACTAACATAATCGCCTAATCCCACACCTGAAAAAAGACATGTTACCAAGAAAACGCCTGGTCCAGGAATCGTAAACCCTGTTCAACTGACCCGAGACCAAAAAGATAAATTCCACTTCAGGCTAAATTTGTGGGTTAGTTGCAAGCCACCGAACTCTTAATACAATACTTTCACGCTTTGCGTAATCAGTTTTGTATGCTTAACCCAGCTTTTGAACAATTCAGAGTAGCTGAGTGATTGGAACAATAATTTCAGTCGTCTAAATTTATCTTGAATGATGCGTACGTCTGATTCGTTTATTACTTCTTGTTGGTTTGTTTTGGTTTGGATGGGATGATTCTTACCAAATCACAAATCTGGCAAATTCATCTAACCAATCAATCGTTTTACAAATACGTCACTGTATTTCGTATATAATGCTATTTTCTGATGTTTCAATTATTTAAAGCAGGTCATTGTTATTTGTTATTTGTTAGTGAATACTCCGAAACCAAATATATTCGCACGTAATTAAGAAAAGTTTACTTCATACTTGTGGCTTTGTGAGAAATTTCGAGACTTTTATGTGATTCAAACCCCTTTTCTCGTTTAAAATGCTAGTTTTACATTCAGATCGTTGGTAAGCCGAAGTACAATTACGGACCTCAGAAACAAAGAAATCATCTCTGGTTACCAGGTACGATACAAAAGAGTTTTAAATAATTTTCATTTTGAAGGAGTTTACCTTCAAGCCTTCTGCGAGGAGGAAATGATTGCTAAGGGAAAATATAGAGCAACACCGATGGTATCCGATTCTCCTACGGTCCATATGAAGCCGACTGTCGCTTTGCGATTCTGCATTCCAGAATTTTTAAAATCTAACCCAGCACCAGCGAAGAATGGTATTGTTTAGAAATTCTCGGAAAGGAAACTTGTTTTAAGTTACGCAGTGTATATCGTGCAGGACGAAAGATCGCCATCCCCATCAAAGTGGTGTAGAATTATTCGCTCGCAAAGGACATAGAAGGCACTGATTTTATATCTTAACTATTATATCTTTCAAAGTTAACTGAGTTTTTTTCTTTCCTAAAGATTAAAATAGTTCAGTATTTTCGCTGCGGTTGATGGACCCGATATCCAGCAGTCAAAGGATGACAACAATTCCAACAAAATCGAAAATATTTTCGCTGATGGAAGTTTCGTTTCATACTGACATGTCTTCGTGTTGGGTTGTAATTCACGATAAAGTGTATGATGTGACCAATTTTTTGGACGAGGTAAGTTAAATGATTATTTGGTAAGGATGGAATAAAAATTAGCGTCACGATTAGGCTTCAAATGGAGTGGGCTTGGATTGATTTATGTTTCATGTACCTTTGGCCAAATGGTATCCGAGCTCGTTCTTAACGAAATCTTATTCCGGCCAGAGTGAAGACATGCTGATTGACACCTACCGATGAACACCCTTATTAAGAGGATCTTTCAAAGAGGGGGGTGGAGGAATGAAGCTACTGTAAATTGGTAGACAGTTACAGCTCAAGTGATGTGCCCATATCACAGCTGTTTGGACTCTTAAGTTTGTAACGGCCTGATTACATGGTAATAACAATAACCAACTTTGGTTGGTGAGAGTAAAACGAAGGAGTGTAGATGTTGAGCTTGAGGCCCTGCATGGCTGTATGACTGCAAGGATTGAGATAAAAAGCCTAATTTTGTCTACGAGATATTAACCATCAACCCCACATCAGTATCCATATTCTCTGTGCTGTTCTCTGTATATTTCCTAAGCTGCTAACAAAGAGAATTTGTTGAACAATAAAGAGCTCATCCAGTTGGTAATCATTTTTTTATGCTCGTGCTATGAATGTTTGATCCAGCAGTGATATTGTAAGGAGGAATTAGATGCTAAATACTCTCATGGGTTAAAGGCTTAATACTGTTGAAATTCAGATAATAGAATTAAGATGTTACATAATTCGATGGTTTGAGCTTCGGGCACATAAGGAAATTCAAAAATGAGTCTCAGCTGACTCACTAAACGCGACTGATTACGTCTCGTTAACCAGGCCAGAAATCGTTTTTTCCATTAACGCGATGTAGCTTGAAATGTTGCGATTTATTGACCTCGATGACCGTGGTAATACTTCCCATATGGAGAGACAAAAATTCGTCTTGCGACCACAGACCAGTTTGGTAATCAAACTGTATCATTTCACACTAAAAGCAAGCTTTTCAGTAAATCTGACCTACATACATCCTTGGATTTAAACTTAATTATCTTTCTTTGAGCTTAGTAATTTATTTTCGGTCTTCTTCAGCATCCAGGCGGAAGGGAGATCATTCTAGAACACGCAGGTGAGTTGGTAGAAAATCACAGCAAACAGCTACTGAAGCTGCAATCTACTGCGGAAATTAAGATGTGTTAAGTCCATAGTTTGCCTTTTCAAGCCAGAAACTTTCACCATTTAGCAAGAACGACAAAGAATGTTTGAAATCTTTGAAGTTTACATGAAGTGAAACCGGGATAAAAACGATCTTTAGAAAATAGTTATTTTTTGAATAGCATATCAATGAGGCTCAAAAAGCCAACAAAACTTTATTCGATAGTTGTAAATTCGTTCTTTGCATGTTCAGATTAGTCTGACTCAGGACAGTTGTTATATTACACCGCATGGAAGGGAATTTAACTATCGCCAGCCTTTGCCTGTTCATTCCAGGTATGGATGCTACAACTGTATTCCAGGACATAGGCCATTCGTTTGAAGCTCTAAAGGTTCTCTCTAAATATCAAATTGGAGAACTAAGCGAGGTTAGTGTGTAGTTTGAAGTAAAATTTTTCGGTTAGACACCTAACGGCGTGCTGATTAATTAGCGCCTGACTGCGGGTCGAGGGGTCCTGGTTCGAAACCTGGCCCGGTCATCGTGTCGTATTCTTGGGCCTGGCACTGAATTCCTCCGGTGCATCTTTCCTACCAGCAGTTTAAGAGGATAGCAGCGAACTTTCATGAAACTTGACAAAATTGTTGGGTGGGGGTAATTTGCTACGGAGTAACATCCCATTCAGGGAGGGGAGCAACGCTCTTAATCACTTCACACCTCAATGATCGAGGTAACCTCTGTTACCTTACGGAGCACTTCTTTAAAGTGCTGAGTTAACCTATGTTGTAATGCATCGTAATTGATCGGCGCTTTTTCTTCCCTAACGCATAAAGTTGACGTAAACCGATTTCTAGTAGCAAGAAACAGCACCTTTCGTATGGCGTTCTCTCAGTGATCAGAGACAACGATCAGTAATTGGATGTTCTCTAGACCCAAGGGATTTACTTCGATTAGTGTTAACCATTAGAAATCCCTATTTCTTTATGTCCTCTTCTGACACTTAGAGATATTTGGACTCCCTAGCAGCTGCAAGAACTGAATCTCGCGCACCGAATCTTACCAAGAAACCTGACGTATTGCAACCGGTGTTTTTGCTATGGTTTCGATCGTCTAAGGTTAAGGCTAAGCAGCTGTCCTGTTTTTGTTACTGTGTCACTCATTAGTATTGTATTATGAAAACTATAATCTTCTTGTTTCTTTCAGAAAGACAAACTCTACAATTCCAAGCCCAAACTATGACGATCAAAGGTAACGTACAATAAGTTTCATCAAGACTAAGTTATTTCGCTCGCTGTAATTCAATTAAAAGTTGATTTTCCAAATCACTCATCACAAACCTTTAGTCAATGAATTCTCTGCATCGTCAAAATTAATTCTTAAAAGAAAAAGTTCTCCGTCGCGTTGAGCTCGTCATTGATTGAAGTGATCTGAGGGGTGTTGTCTTAAGTTGTCTGGCTTGGTAAATCTGTGCATAAACTAAGCCAGCTATTGCAGTTGCTGTAGCTGTAGTATGCTTAAAAGCAAAATATTAAGTCAACAAACTGCTGGTGAAAACTTCATTCCATTTTTGTGAGACTTACAACAAAGCATGCCGAGTTGTAGGATATTCCGCCATTCCGCCGTTCCATCATTCCGTCCAATATGGTTACCCTGTTAAATTCCGTATCTTGCTCGCTTCGCAAATTTAATGGCTCTTTTGGGCATTAGTCGCTGATTGAAATGGTAAAATTCACTCTCTTTGAATGAGTAAAATTTTTCTTCAAAGTTTCCACTATGTGCCTACCTATTTAGATACTTCTCCAAGGAAAAATATTGTTTTTAATTACTTGCCGGGGAAGCCAACTGTGAAATTATTTTGAAATGTTTATCATCTTTTGTAGTGTGGTCACGAAAAGCATTGAAAAATTCGCTAGTTTAAACAGTAAAAATCCTCTCTCTCTAAGTTTTCCAGATTCGTTGATCACACCCTATAAAATATTTCAGTAAAGAAAAGCTTTGTTTTTTCACGCACCATCCTGAAATGATTGGGAGATGTTTATGTCACGGCAAGAACTGAAAGAATGACATTTGGGCATTTCTAAGACAAAAAATTATTAGTTTCAAAGGCATACCTCTTTCTTAAGTGTGCGCTCAATAATATCTAATTGTGAATGTCGATCTACGAAGATATTCGGAAACAAACAAGAAGAGAGATCGGCTCAAAATCGGTTGAGGTTCGGCTTTCGACTTTTACTTACTATCACTCACTCACTCGCTCATTTCGATGCCATATGTGACTTCGCCTCCAACAGGAGGCAGTAGCCACAAAAAATGAGAAGGTAAGGTGCGCATTACGATTAGATGAAGGAAAAAATGAAAGAAGAATAGAATTACGCTGTTGGCATGACTGAACAAGACCAAGTGTCTGACAGGATTCTGGCCGGCTTACGAATCTTGTATAGTTACACCGGTGAAGTCAGAATCAAGGAATACAATCGAAATTTTACACCTTGGCCCGCACCCACGTCCTGAACACTGGCAGAGTAGAGTATATTGATTGACACCTACAAAACTACACCCAGGAACAACATGATGGCGAGCTCTGTAAAATCAGAAAAAATAGCGAGTAATTGATCACAGTAAATTCAGGAGAGCTTCATACTAAATAAGGTAATGTGCACGAGGCTCCTCCTCATCAGAACAGGGTAAAGCTTACGAAAACTGACGATGACGGGTTTAAAGTTGTTACACTTCACCAGCACGAAAAACAATTTTTCTGATATTAATTGAAGTTGTGAACACAGAGCCTTAATGCTCATTCGTCAACTTGACAGGAGGGACAGCGTATGAAATCCCATCTGGACACGCTCTGGACACGCTTCGCTGGAACCGACAATAAGGGCTAGCATCCCCATCACGGAGATCATTGCCAAGTTCGAGCTGTCACAAACCCCGAAGCAGAAAACAAAGGCACTGGCAAAAGGAACTGATCATATTGTAATGCAACAAGTAAAACCACTCCTTTCAACAATCTAATGCTAGAATGACAAAGGGCTTGCAAGCGTAACTATGGATACGAACGCATACACCATCAAAATGTATACCCTGACTCAGAACGAAACGTACAAGCTGCGTAACAAAGACCTAATACACCGTCACAGCAACCGGAGAGGCGTGCCTCAACAGATCGCCGAGGGAACGATAAAGCAAGAGAACAAGGGTGCAATTACACCGAAAACAGGAGTTGAACATCAACCAATCATAGCATTACATCATTCCTTACAGGGTCAAGGGTGACCAGTTGCACTCATCACCAGAAAAAGACCACTAGAATACAGTTGAAGTGTCATCTTCTGCATAGTTTGTGACTCTATCGTAGCACAACAGGTGACACTTTTAAAATATCTTAGAGAAACACACGTAGTCCTGACACTTAAGCCAAACTGAATTTTAGTAGTTTAGAAGTTATCGCTCAAAAACCAGTGTTCAACTCATCACATTGTATTACCTTACGCTGTATATTCTAAGGCCTACCACGCTGAAAGCTATTTATCGAAGATATATGGCGAGAAGTTCAAGGTGCGAAAGAAGCATAGTGATTATTGTCGTAAGAAAGTTAGAACTAATCAAGGCAACATGGGGCAACATAGCGATTATGTGGATGACATTTTGGCCATCATTGTTAAATTGGAGTTATGCACGTATAAAACATTTGATTCTCTGGAGAAAAGGACACTTTAAGTGTTATCACTCTCCAGTCCAAGACCTATCTGCACTAAAAATTGTTTCCGCGAAGACCACGTTTGTTGCTTTCCATTTGAAAACTATCCCGGTTTACCTAGACGAACTTAGGGCATTTGGACCAAGGTAAACGTAAAAGAACTAGGACGAGCACTGCAGCTTGTCTAGAGACTTATTCAAATTTTCTTTGGGAAAAACTTTTCGAAGAGTCGCTTTCCTCCCTGTGATGACGAATAATCCAACAATATTGATTACATTGGGGAAGTCATCTTTACATGGAGAGGAAAGAGTCATTGTTAGTACTTTACGCTGTTGAAGAAATAGAACAGTTTCAATCTCTCCTAGCTGCAACATTTGAAGAGTCCTCCCGTTTTTCAAAACATAGCTTCTTCGTTAAATCACTCTGATAAGGCACTGAACCTATTGTGCCCAAGCGTCATCCAGAAGTCTGACGCCTTTGCGCCGTTCTTTTCGTTTCCCTCATCATCACGATCACCATCATCATGGCCATTATCATCATAATCTTCACCCCACTCTTGTGGAGGCGGTCTCCAATCGATATCAGAGGAACCGCAGGAATTATCAGACGGCTCAGGATCACCCTCCCATGAATCTTCAAGAACTGTATCTGATGCTTGATCTATTGCCAGACCCTTCGTCTTCCAGATCTCGCCACTACTGTTTAGGTATGGGCCAAGATTCCAGATGTACTCTTTATGGCTGACCTTTCCTTTGCAACACTTCCGGTTCTCGCTTGTACACTTGGTGCAAACAAACTGTAGAGTATCTCCTATCCGACCATGTGCAAAATTACAGTGTCTGATGACATGGGTTCCCTCCGTGGAGTTGTGTCGTGTGCACTCTTGCGACTTTGGGCTTCCTTGAACAAAAGCTCCATGATGGAGTTTTCCATCTGAACCTAGGCTTTTGGGCGAAAACTTTCTCTTCTCGTTACCCTTGGTTGCCATTACAGATTTCCACTTAGTTCGTTCCGGTTCAGTTCGGCCTCCTGCTCCCGAATAATGTTTCTGTTGATTTGCCACTTCTTTTGGTGAAGCGAACGCTGACATACCCCAGCCTGAGCTTCGTTTTGCCTTAGGCAAATAAGAATTAGCAGGGACAGAAGAGGAACTAATGTGGTATGATAAGTCTGAAACGCCAGTTTCCCATTCCGAAACATCCTCGGATCTTACTATGTCATGTCTTCGAGTGCGTGAAGCTGGAGGGGTGTAAGTCTGCTCACTTTGAATGGCACGGATGTTTTCTTGAGGTAAACCTGGTGAGGTTTTGTTTGTTTTTTTGCCAGCACCAGAGTGACGAGGGGGAAGGCTCCATCTGTCTCTGTTGTCAAACCTTTCAGTTAATGGACGGGATGTTGTCATGGACGTGGTACACTCCATTTGTTTTTTCAAATTAGTGTATGTGTCCTTGTCCACTGGATCATATGCATAGGGCCCAGCGAGTGTGAAACCAACGTAAAACCAGAGATCGTCCTTGCTTTCGTTGGGATAGAGAGTGTTATCGAAGTGCAGTTGGATTCCTTGATACGAAATAATGCCTTTACTGCCGACTCCTTTCTGACCTTGCACGCGTTCCAACCTCTCAGAAGGTTCCTTGCCTCGCCAGAACTCTGTCTTGGTTTTCCATTTGGTTTCTAGCCACCGAAACTCCTGGCTACTTAGAATGGCGTTGAGGCCAATCCCTTTACCAAGAAAGTATTCAGCACCGGATTTCCGAAATCCTGAACCTGCTTTTTCTCTAACAATCCTGCCACACTTTTTGACAGATTCCCTCGCTGTTGCATTGCAAGGGGCAAGAGATCCATTTGGGATTGGGAAGTGAATCATATAATAGAAAAGATGAGCCCATTCTGAATTTGGATACCTTTGTACCCACCCGCTAACGATGTTGTCAAGCTCTTGAACTGGAGGCTTCTCTTCAAGTTGAAGACCAGCCTTAGAGCAAATCAACAAATCATTGTAGCTTCCATGCCCACGAAGACAAAGGGACTTCAGCAACTGGTAGATTTCAGATATTTCTCCATCAGTCAGGTTTGACCATGCGCTGTATGGTGTTTCGTCTTTCAAGAAGAGAATGTCTTGAACCTTCTGCTGATAAACTGCAGGCTCTTGTTTTGATGAGAGAGAGAGGAGTAGTGAGTTGTCATCACTGCTTAACTCCTTTTTGTCGAAGCCTGTAATCTCATAAAATTTTCTCCGTAGATTGGAAGCCCTAATCTTTGCATTGTTAACACCCCTTATCTCATTTTCATCATAGGTAGTCGTTTGTTTAAGCTTCACGTGTCCAAAAAGTTCGTTCAGTAGGTCAAGTGTGGTAGTTCCAAGACTCTGTACGTAGTCGCGGTCTTCTGGGTTAAGAGCGTTTTCTAATTCAGGAGGAACAGCTCTTCTCGCCAGGTACATCGTAAACTTTCCCTCCTCGGTGTTAAAGCAGGGCAGATCCTTAACAATTTCTAGGAGGGAGACATTGGCTTGGATCTTACCAATCATTGAGAAATGGTTAGGTTCGCGTGAGGTCTCGAGTGCTTTATGGTATACGCTCAACGCTTTGCGGCATATTTGGACGGCGGCTGGAAGAGCTAGAATTAAAGAAGCCTTGGTCTTGAAATCCCTTAATTGATGAAGGTAAAGAACACCTTTGGTGGTGTAATGGTTGGTGTAACTGGGCTGAAGGGAGACAGCAATATCTACTGCCATGTGGGCAGTATCAATTCCGGTTCGTGGTATGGGTACCTTGATTTGTTGTATTTCCTTCATAGCGTGGCGAAGTCGCTTATTTAGCTCGTTGGTTGCGTCCATTACGTTTGCACGCAATTCGTACCCCATAAATCGTGCTAACTGTTGCCAAGCGTAAGCCTTATCCTCAATTTGTGTGGCCTTCTCACAGATGGTTAGAAGGACCCTAAGAGCTCCTTCAATGTTTTCTTCTTTATCCATGATGTCCACGATGACAGGCGAATACCGGGTGCGTTTGCCATAAAACCCGAAGACTTCGTTCTCTAAATCAGCACCGGCTGCGCCATCGTCTAAAGCTTGTTCTTCTACGAAGACAGGATCGGATAATCTCTTTCTATCTAGATACAGTCGGAAAACTTGACGTCTTAAAAACTTCATTACGTACGCCTTTCCACTGCAGGCTTGTTCTAAACAACGTATAGCTGTCTCTTCGATACTAATCCCTGATGTAACCACATCACTAACAAGAGGATGTGCGGGGCGCCAACCATAATATCCATTGGTTTCGTTCTGTTCCTCAAGGAGCAGTCCTCCAAATACTTCATGGATTTCGTTAATCGCTGAGCTTTGTTTGGCTGCACTTGTATCGTACAAAAAGTCTAGTGCAACTGCGTGAGGTAGGATGACACAACCATCACTGTATTTGTTGAGGAAACAACACATTTCTAGGACCGATTTGTGCATTCTCTGTGAGTCACCCAGGAAAGCCGTTAGGATACTACGAATGTGATTTTGAAGCCTCTCTTCTATTTTAACGTAGTCTCGTCCAAAGAGTTCCAAACCAAACCAAATGAACCTTTTTTCTCTCTCCAGGACTTCCTCAGCCTCCCTTCTTTTCTGACTGTCGCTCATAATATTAATCAAAATGTCCTTAACAAGACTCGTCTCCATGTCGTTGAGCTTTCGTAAGGGTGTTATCTCAAACTGTGTGTTAGTTGCTGATTTCGAGATTGGTAGCGTGGTTAGCACAACGCATTTTGCCCTTCTTTTCATGATTTGATCTGTCAAATGACGTACATCGTTCTCTGGAAAGTTGTCAACAAGAACAAGTACAGGAAGTGAATAGTTTGAGTTCTTCTCGTCATATGCAATTTGCTGGAACTTGTCGATTTGAAAGTCCGTAGAAGATGTTATGGCTTTTACCACAGCACAACGATAGTCCTCTCTTTTGTTCCAAAGGATCCTACGGCAAAGAGTAGTTGCACCAGATCCTGGCTCGTAGGGAACGGTTACAGTCTTCACGTAGTAATTGGCATCCATGTTTTCTTTAGACAAAGACTTCAGCGCCTTATCAACTTTAGCAGTTACCTCTTTTTCAAGACTTCGAGCAATGGTATGGTTTTGCATTAGATTAATCTGACTGGCCTGAGCGCCTTTGTAAAATGCATCTCGCTCCCTTTCAATGGCCTCTGCGAACATGGGTAACCGAGGATTTGGGCTGTATACTTCTAAATCATTCCAAGAGTTGATAATTTTGTTAAGAACCGCTTTGCTTTGTCCAGTGAAATACGGAAGTTCTGTTTTTGCTCCAGGTTCCTCAAACTTGCAAGGCCCCACCATTTCACGGACGATTTCCTTCAATAAGCTCCAGGGAATACCGGTAATAGAGCAATCCTTCAGTTCTCGCTGAAGAGTAGGTTTGGAGGCTTGGATAAATGCGTCGGCCACTGCAGTGGTTTCACTAAGAATGGTAACGCAACTACTTGCCGAGTTTCCAAAAATGCTGAAACTGCTTTCCATGATATCTGCCATCTCGGGAACTGCATTCTCCGCGAGACAAAGAAAAACGCATACAAGCTTGCTTGGAAGAAAGCATTCTTTGTAAGCTGATAAAGCTCGGTACAGACAATCCTTGGAACACTTTATCCAATTTCCTTTCTGCATTTCTTCATTACTGAGAATCCAGGTTGTTCCTCGAGTCGAAATGAGAGCATCTTTATCGGGTGTCACTTCTTTGAAGTCATCAAGGGTGTAAATTGTAGCGCGTAATGCGTCGGTTGTCTCATTACAAGCATAGTGCAGGCCGTCTACTTTAGACGCAGGGTCAAATAAGTCAAACACGGCAACCCAAGGAATGTTTTGCAAAAAAGATAATTGAGGTGATCCTCTGTACAGGGCAGGCAGCTTATTTGCGACAAGTATGTAGCCATTATCCTTATAG